CCCTTTTATGTTCTGCTATTCGTTTATCAAAGTTTCTACCAGTTTGACCGATGTAAGTTTTTGGGCAGTCGCCACATTGGAGTTTGTATACACCACTATTTAAGTGTTTTTTATTTTGGCTCTTGTTATTTTTAATATATTTGCCTAGGTTGTTATTTGTTCGGAAAGCTGGTGTTATTCCTTTCTTTTTTATGTGTTTGGCAATTTTTGTTGTTATTTTTCCTGTATATGTAATCGAGCAGAAGGTACTGGGTTTTTTCTCTGGTGGTGGAAATACTAATTTCAGGGCTTTCTTGTGTAGTTTTTGTTTTAACATTTTATTAATTGTTTGTTCGTTGTATCCGTTATTTACTGCTATTTGTTTAATTATATTTAATTCTGTCTCAAAGTTGTCTTTTGACATCGGAATTTCTGTTAATCTATGTAACATACTATGATAAGCTGCCAGTTTATGTTGTGTTGGATGGGATGACGAATTGTGTATAGTCGTGTCAGTATGACAAACATGACTTCTCCATATTTCATAAACCTACCCATACTGACACGACTATACACAATTCGTCATCCCATCCAACACAACATAAACTGGCAGCTTATCATAGTATGTTACATAGATTAACAGAAATTCCGATGTCAAAAGACAACTTTGAGACAGAATTAAATATAATTAAACAAATAGCAGTAAATAACGGATACAACGAACAAACAATTAATAAAATGTTAAAACAAAAACTACACAAGAAAGCCCTGAAATTAGTATTTCCACCACCAGAGAAAAAACCCAGTACCTTCTGCTCGATTACATATACAGGAAAAATAACAACAAAAATTGCCAAACACATAAAAAAGAAAGGAATAACACCAGCTTTCCGAACAAATAACAACCTAGGCAAATATATTAAAAATAACAAGAGCCAAAATAAAAAACACTTAAATAGTGGTGTATACAAACTCCAATGTGGCGACTGCCCAAAAACTTACATCGGTCAAACTGGTAGAAACTTTGATAAACGAATAGCAGAACATAAAAGGGCTTTCAAGAATAGAAAAACAGATTCGACATACGCACTTCACCTTCTAGATCATAATCATTCTTTTAATGACAAATTTAAAATTCTTCACATTCAAAATAAAGGCCTTAAGCTATCTTTGTTAGAATCTATGGAAATCAACAAATTAAAAAACACAGATATAATTCTGAATGACCAACTTGAGACAAACAGTTCTCCCCTCCTCAACCTATTTCATTAGAGACTATAAATTTGTAAACCCAAGCCAAAATAGATCACTTGAGAAAGGCAATCAGCCGAAACAGCTGTAGTGATAATATTTAAAATAAATTTTGTGGAAGTTTGAAAACAAAGTTTTCAGTGTTTTATTGTTACATTAGACAAATCATTTGTGCTGTGAAATGCAACGGTACGGGGAGACCCCTTGTCTACATTGATATTCAATATAGTTCTAGAAAACATTGTAAGGGTTAGTGGGATGAATAGGTCCGGAACTATTCTATACAAGGAGCACCAATGCTTAGCATACGCCGATGATGTGGTTCTTATTGCAAGAAATGGAAAAGAAACTAAAATCAACTTGAAACTGACCAAGAGCAAGAGGTGTACTGGAGCCATGAGCAAACTAATTAAGGCCAAAGATATATCTCGTTATACAAAAATAAGAGTATACAAAACTATAATTATACCCACAATGCTATATGCTGCCGAGACGTGGACTATGAACAAAACCATACAGAACACATTGGAAGCATGAGAAAGAAAGATACTTCACAAAATGTTTGGTGGAAAAGTAGTAGAGGGAGAATCGAGAAGACGAACTAATGCAGAAGTGTACCATTTGTATGCTAACCCTACAATAACAAAAGTGGTGAAAAAACATAGACTAGAATGGCTCAGTCATCTAGAAAGAATGCAAGGTAATAGACTAGTTAAGAATATTGCTTGGAGAGTACCTGAAGGCAAACAAAGAAAGAAAGAGCAGGAAAGAAATGGAGAGACATGAGAATCAGAGATTGGAAACTGATAGCTAAGAACAGAAAACGATGGAAATTATCCATCCAGCAATGGGCATAAAAGCTGGAAAAGTACATAATGCCGTTAAAGAAATGGAAAGGCTGAATATAGATATTTTAGGAATCAGCGATGTCCAATGGCCCGACTCACGAAAGATAAAAATCAACAATAAAACAATATATTATTCAGGAAGTCAAGACGGTTCACACAGATATGGTGTCGGGATAATATTAAACAAAAACATTGATGAAGCTGAAATAAATTTCACTCCATATAACAGAATTATACTCTTACAATTAAACCAGAACAAACCCAAAATAAACATCCTACAAGTTTATGCTCCAACTGCAGAAAAACAAGAAAGCGATATTGAAACTTTCTACGAAGACCTAGACAACATTTTGAAATGCATTAAAACGCAAGATTTAACAATAACTATAATGGGGGACTTTAACGCAAAGGATGGGGAAGAAAAAGTAGAAGAATGTGCAGGAGGATATGGTCTGGGCAACAGAAACGAAAGGGGTGACAAGCTTATCGAATTTTGCCAAAACAATAATTTTGCTATAGCTAATACACTGTTCAAAATGCCAAAGAAAATACTATATACCTGGAAGTCACCAGCAGATTAAGAAGAGAGAATTATAAGAAACCAAATAGACTATGTATTAGTTAGACAAAGATACAGGAATCCAATTATATCCACAAAAACCTATCCAAGTGCTGACATAGGATCAGATCACAACCCAGTAGTGAGAAAAGTTAGGTTCAAAATGAAAATATTAAAGCGAAGAACAACAAATGCAAAACTCGATACAAGTCAATTGAGGAACCCACTCATAAGGCAACGCCTGGCAGATGAAACCAACAACGTATTAATGAATGTTAAAGAACAAATTCTGCAAAATACTGAGACGGAGAAAAAATGGTTTTTAATAAAGACAGAAATAGATAAAAGACAAAAAGAAATTCTAATACAAACCATATATAAAAAGAAGCAATGGATGACGGAAGAAATTTTAGATTTAATGAAAGAAAGACGTTAATATAAGAACAAAGATAATCAGATGTACAAAAAAGTGGATAAACAAATAAAATACAGAATTAAGAAAGCGAAAGAACAATGGCTAAAAGAACAATGCGCAGAAATAGAAGATAAACCAGTAAAGACATGATACTTTTAACACACATAAAAAAATTAAAGAATTAACTCACAACAATAGAACAAGAAAACCGGGAATACTGAAAAATGCAAATGGGAAACTTGTGTTAAATACTAACGACAAATTAAAGAGATGGACAGAATACATCAATGAACTAGTCAAAGACAATAGAGCAGAACAGATGAAGATAGAAATAGAACAGGATAGGGTTTTAAAGATATTAAAAGAAGAAATTAAAATGGCATTAAAAAACAGCAAAACTGGTAAAGCATTAGTTCCAGACGAAAACCCTATAGAAATCTTAAAATGCATGAATAATGAAACCTTAGACATTATAGTAGACTTATTTAACTCTCCACCTTTTGTCCTATCCCTAAAAATTCAAACGCTAAATATTGCAGTGAATACAGAACAATATCACTAATAAGTCACATTCTCAAATTATTCCTGAAAATAATACATGGTCGTATAAATAAAAAACTGAAAGAAGTAATAGATGATAGTCAGTTTGGGTTCAGAAACACACTAGGAACCAGAGAAGCGTTATTTGCTTTTAATGTGTCAGCTCAAAGAATGTCAAAGATGCATGGATATGAATGTTGATGTGCATGTTTGTTACGTTGATTTTGAAAAAGCATTTGACAAAGTAAGACATGAAAAATTAGTCCAAATTCTAAAGGCAAAAAACATAGACCACAGGGACTTACGAATAATAACAAACCTCTACTGGAATCAAAGAGCACAAATCGTAATAGATAACGACCCAGTCCAGAAATTGAAATCAGGAGAGGAGTTAGGCAGGGATGTATTATGTCCCCATTACTATTTAATGTATATAGTGAAGCCATTTTTGAAGAGGCATTACTATATCAAAGAGAAGGAATAATAATTAACGGAAGATCTAATAACAACATAAGATATGCAGATGAGACAGTGATTATGGCAAGCTCTGCTGAACAACTCCAATTACTGTTAAACAAAACAAACAGTTCCTGTGAAAAATATGGACTAAAAATGAATATAAAAAGAGCAAATACATAATAATAACAAAGAAAACAAATATACCAACAAACATACATTTGGGAAATGTACCGATAGAAAGGGTTGATAAATACAAATACCTAGGAACCTGGATTTCAGACAATAATGATCAAACAACCGAAATAAGAGCTAGGATAGAAATGACAAGAAATGCGTTTGTAAAAATGAAAACAATTCTCCGCAACAGAGATCTTAGACTGGTTTAAATGCAGTTCTATGAAACTCTTTAGAGCAGCAGTAGATAAAGTAAAGAAGAAGAATGGGCCTAAAAGGCCTGTTAACGCTGTACATACATACCCTTTGGTAGATAGAACTCATGATCTTTACAAGCGTATGTATGTATAGAAATATTTCTGGTTACCCGATATAATTATTATTAAATCGATTAAACGGATTTTTCATATTTTAACAATGAATTATATTCTAAATTTAATTTTGAAACCGAGATTTGTTTGTTTAAATGCCCGTATATAAATAGAAATAATATTTTTAATTATATTTACAAGGATGCAATAATTCACATTAATCGAAGAATGTATTTATTCTAAATATTGTCACCTTTTATTAGCTTCGGTGGATAGGTATTATTAATCTTAAAAGGAAATATTTTTCAATATCACTCGGCAAGTAATAATCCATTTAGCATTGATTAATTACAGTCAACAAATTCCTTTGTTATTAATAATCTGTTCTTGATTTTTCACTATTTAATAAAGTAATGTTGACGCAAATTTTTCAATATATTTACTTAATAAGTTATCGCTATCAATTCGGTGGATATTTTTCTGTAACAGAGCGTCAACGTAATTAGCACCAAAAGCTGGTATATATACGAAATTATTTTTGATTTCGATAAAGTTCACGAGTGTTACATACAGTCAACTTGTTATAGAAGAAGTTCAAAAGTGCAATGAAATTTTTCGTCCTCGCCCTAGTGGTAGGAGCGGCAACACTATCTTCGTGTGAATCCTTTGATGGGTTAGAAGAGGATAGATGGAGACGATCCCTGCTGACAGATGCCGATACCAGTCTCACCGGAGGAGAAAAAATATCCAAAAGGTCTTTACTTACTGAAGCCGATGTTGGCCTACTTGGTGGTGAAAGAATATCTAAACGGTCTCTATTCACTGAAGCTGATCCCGCTTTGCCTGGTTTCGAGCGAATCTCCAAGAGGTCTTTGTTAACCGAAGCAGAGTCTGCATTACCTGGTGGTGAGCGAATCTCCAAAAGATCTCTTTTCAGAGAAGCAGATCCTGCTTTACCCAGTTTTGAGCGAATTTCCAAGAGATCTCTTTTAACCGAAGCTGAGCCTGGGTTACCTGGTGGTGAGCATATATCTAAAAGATCTCTTTTCAGAGAAGCAGATTATGGTTTAATTGGTAGCGAGAAAATTTCAAAGAGATCGACAGATGAAGACAGACCCAAAAGATCTCTATATACAGAAAATGAAATGTCGCTGACTGGTGTTGAAAAAATTTCCAAACGTGCAGTAGAAGAAGACGATCAAGAAGCATCTGAACAATTTTGGTTACCGAAATTTGCCAGAAAAAATTTGTTAAGAGCTAGAAGGTCTGACGATAGTTTAGAAGCAGATGCATCTACGTTTGCTTTTCGTCCCAACTTTGCCAGGCGAGAATTCCGAAGAATTAAGAGAAATATTGGATTTCTACCCAGTTTTGCAAGAAAAGGTATAAGAAGCAAGAGATCTGCTGAAGCAGACCTAGATCCGGAAGAAGAAAATAATGAAAGAAGTAAAAGAAACATTGGTTTTCTACCTGGTTTTGCAAGGAAAGGTATAAGAAGTAGACGATCAGCTGAGTTAGATGACACTGAAGAAGAAAATAATAAGAGAAATAAAAGAAATATTGGTTTTCTACCTGGATTTGCAAGAAAAGGCATACGAAGTAGAAGATCCACTGACTTAAATGAAGAAGAAGAAGAAAATAACGAAAGAGCTAAAAGAAATATTGGTTTCCTTCCTGGATTTGCAAGAAAAGGTATAAGAAGTAGACGATCAGCTGAGTTAGATGACACTGAAGAAGAAAATAATAAGAGAAATAAAAGAAATATTGGTTTTCTACCTGGATTTGCAAGAAAAGGCATACGAAGTAGAAGATCCACAGATTTAGAAGAAGAAGAAGAAGAAAATAACGAAAGAGCTAAAAGAAATATTGGTTTTCTTCCTGGATTTGCAAGAAAGGGTATAAGAAGTAGAAGATCTGCCGAAATAGACGAACCAGAAGAAGAAAATAACGAAAGAGCTAAAAGAAATATTGGTTTCCTTCCTGGATTTGCAAGAAAGGGTATAAGAAGTAGAAGATCTGCCGAAATAGACGAACCAGAAGAAGAAAATAACGAAAGAGCAAAAAGAAATATTGGATTTCTCCCTGGCTTTGCAAGAAAAGGTATCAGAAGTCGACGTTCTATATACTTAGAAGATACAGAAGATGAAGAATCAGGTAACAGGGAAAGGAGAAATATCGGCTTTTTACCTGGTTTTGCGAGAAAAGGCATTAGAAGCAAACGATCAGTAGATGACGAGGAAGAAACGGATTCTGAAAGAACTAAAAGAAACATTGGATTCCTACCGAGTTTTGCTAGAAAAGGAATTCGAAGTTAAGTTAAATGATCTTTGATTTCAAAATGTACTAACTGTTAATAAGCAATTTTAAAAAATACCAAAAAATTTTCACATGTAAATGTATTTATTATAGATTAGGTATTTGTGTATAATTTTTTAGATAATAAATATTTTGTAATATAGTTACAAGTTGGGGTCTTATTGGTGTAAGGTAAAAAATAAAATTTATAAAATTGTTTGATTATTACATTATTGCCATATCCGTTCCTAAGGAAATTCTACATTGAAAGATTGGTTATTATTATGTCTTATTGGTCTCTCTTTTGTTAAATTCTTTATAGTGAATGTACATTTATACCTATGCCATCTCTTAAATTAAATTTACACTTTAAAGTTTTTAGAATTTGAAATTTAAACAGGCTATTTTGTTTTTTTTTACTTGGAAATCAAACATTTCTAATAGTTATCTGTCTCATTATATTGCCATTTCAAATGTGTACATTTAAAAGTAAGATTTTAATATTATATTCTTATTTTTTTACCATGTGAACTTGTAAGGACTTTACTAAAGAATTGTTTATTGATTTCTACGAAAACCATTTTAATTGCAATGAGCTTTTAGTAACAATAAAACACTGAAAACTTTTGTTTTCAATACTTCCACGAAACTTATTTTAAATTATTATCACTACAGCTATTTCAGCCTTTAATAATACTACACAATCTGTCAAATCAAATCAACAGTAAAATTTTCTTGATAGTAATTTATAGGAAATTGATAGGAAATACTAAAAAACCACTCATGATAGTATACAGATAATAAGTATTTGAATTGCGTTTTGCAGAAAGAGCAAGTTTTATATAGAAGTTTTATCCAGATGATTGTAGACGACCAGGCAATATGTGCGAAATGGAATACTGGAAGATCAAACTTAACGTTACGTAAAAAATACAGCATCGTAACATGGAATGTTAGGGAGCTGCTACAGGCAGGTTAATTGTATATATTAGAAATTAACGAAACAAGGAGAAGATAGATATCTGTGGGATATCTGAGATACACTGGGATATCTGAAATTACATGATTCTATGTTAATTAACCACCAGGATAACAACTATCGAATTTTGTTTTCCATCGAAAAGCAATCTTGCCACTTATGCAAGCAGCAAGGACATTCTGCATATCAGTATATCAATAAAAATAATCAGACTCCTTCAAACAACACCCAAAATAATGTTTATCTAAACTCTCTACAGGAAGTACACCAATCAGCTCCCCCTTCGACAATTTCTTCTACACAATCCTCTCCTACTAAGACTAAAATTACAGTACAGCGATCAGTTCCTTTGTCGATAAATTTCTCTAGACAATCATCTCTTACTGAGAGTGAAACGTCTAGAAAAATCATTACCTCTCAATTAATTAAGCATACTCCGATAAGTTTTAAACTATACAATGAGACAAATGGATACCTTTCACCAAGATACATCCTCATCCCAGCACCCTAAACAAAACATATCTGAAATAATATTCCTCCAATAAGAGATAACAAAAATGCCTTCGCTGAACCGAAGCCAGGAAGCAAAACACCAAAAACTGAACAAGAAAACAACAGAAGCCTAGTAGAAGGTCTTACCAAATGCACCAGTTAATTTTTCAAACAAAACAAAATGGATAGTTAACATAAGAAGAACTTATTGACTTCTTTGAAAATGCGCATGGTTCTTCAGATCGTCTCAATGTCGTGAACTTACTCAGAGGATATCGAAGGATTGATAGACTTATATATATATCCGGTTTTTTAGGCGTTACGCCCGTCCGGTAGGGATCTATGGAGGAGTATCACCGAGGCGCAAGCCCTTATCTCTTGCCGTACTGCTCCACCATAGGCCGATCAGATCCCAGCATATTCTAGTTTAAGCCGCAGATTCATCTAGAATTTTAAACTGCTGCGTTAGACTTTTTGTTTTCTGTACACCGAGCTGGGGCTGGATCCCACATCCACTGAACCATTCGACAGTGAAGCGAATGAGAGGCAGCCGCACAGCCCGCTGAGCTATCTGACCGACGAATTGATAGACTTTCTAAAGAAAATACATCCTATGTTAAGTTGAAGATATCTTAAATCCCGTTGTTCTAGAATTAAAAACAAAATTACAGAACAAATTTTAAGTAATACTTCTACCGATGATTTCCGAATAATATCTAAATTCTTATAAATAAATTTCATCCATCCATCCTATGTTTGCAAGAAACACATATCAAAGGAAAGTCGTGTCACAATCTTAAAAACTTCATGTCCAGACTACGATTAGGATACACCAAGATCACACATGATTTCCTACTACAAAAATAACCCAAACCTTTGTGTTACACTTGTGACAGTGATCTAACAATACATCACTTATTAGTGGAGTGTCCGTTGTACCGATTCGAAAGACAATATGAACAGTTATCTACAACAATGTTATCTGTAAAATCGAATATTGCTTTAACCCTTGCGATTAAAGCAGTTTCAAATAAAAAAAAAAAAAAACATATTTTCAAAGTGTGAAAGTTCAAATTATAAATTCAAACATAATAAGTGTTTTTCCTACATTTTGCATTGTTTCTAAATAACAACATTTAACTAGATTAATTATTTACTGTAAAATCTTCTTCTTCTTCCTTCTTATATATAGGCTTTACAAGGCTGTTTCTTTTTCAATATCAGCCAAAATTGTTTAAATTATCGCACCATCTTTTTTTTGGCCTGCCAATAGTTCTTCGTCCATTTGGTGACTTATCTCGTGCAATTGATACTATCCTATCCTCTGCCATACTACTAATATCTTCGTTCCACTCCTGTTTCCGTTTTGTCACTCATCCATTTTTATGTCTTCTATATGACATGCTTTTCTTATGTTTTCGCTTCTCTACCTATCCAACAGACTTTTCCTTGATATTTGTCGGAGTATTTTCATCTCTGTTGTTTCTAGTAGTCGTACCGTTTTAGGTACGGAGTCGGAGGTACGGTTTAGGAGTCAGGTCTTGTATCCGCCGTGTATGTTAATATAGGTCCAATTGCTTCTTTATCTTCTTCTTTACGTGCCATCTCCGCAAAGGAGGTTGGCAATCATCATGGTTATTTTGATCTTAGATGCTGCTGCTCTGAGTAGTTCGATTGATGTGCATCCATGCATGTTGCTTTATAGATTCTTGTTTTTCTGTCTTTTATTATGTGTTTGTTCTTCCAGATTGTGTCATTGAGAGATCCCGCTGCTTTACTTGCTTTTAAGCTTTTTTGTGGTACTTCTTTTTCAACATCTCCGTAAATAGTTACATTTATTCCCAGATATCTAAAACTTACTTCCTACTTTATTATTTTCCCATCAATTTCGATTTTACGTCATAAATTTCACATTCGATTTTAAATCATTTTTTTGCTGATATTATCATATTGTGTTTCTTGGCTGTTGTAAGATGTGTGTTAATCTTTGGAGCTCGTCTTGTGTCTCGGCGATTAATGCGGCTTCGTCTGCATAACATAATATTTGGATTTCGTTGTTCCCTATTCTGTAACCATTACCTTTACGTACTGCTTGTGTTATTTCGCCTAATATTATATTAAAAAGAAGTGGGGTTAACGAGTCACCCTGTCTGACTCCGCTTTGTACTGGTATACACTGTGTTAGTTTTCCATTTATCTTTGCCTGTATTTGATTATGGAACTAGATGTTTTCGATGGTTTGTATAGTATTGATTGGTATGTTTCTTTTACACAGTAGGTGTAAGACGCCTTTGACTTGAATGCGATCGAAAGCCTTTGTCAGATCTATAAAACATAGATATGCTGGTTTATTCTACTCGATGGCCTTTTCTGTGAGTTGTCTTAGTATAGATTCGACGTCTACGCATGATCTTCCGGATCTAAATTATTGTTGTTCATCTGATAAAGTTGTTAGTTTATTGATTTTGTTGGTTACAGCATTTGCGGTGTGGGGTGTTCAGTAGAGTTATACCTCTATAATTGTTGGAGTCTTCTTTATCTGCTTTCTTGAACATTGGTATCATTATGCTGTTTCTCCATGCGTCTGCTATTTTGCAATGCAATAATAGTTTTTGTATAAGTTTTTTCATTTCTAGGGTTATACTTTCTTCTCCGTGTTTTAGAAGCTCGTTGATTCTTCTATTTTTGAGTAAATTTATGGCTATCTCTATCTTTCCCATTTGTTTGCTGGTATGTTATTGTATTCTTTCAATTTTGCCATTTCTTTCAGTTGGTTTCTTATGAATCTTCATATTTGTTTTTGTGTACCGTAAAAATCGCTTTGCATCCTTTATGTAAACTGTTCCCAGTGTTTATTATTTGTTCTTCCTGCCAATTGCATTAGCTCATTTTGTATTTTTTCTATAAGTGTCTCAGGATTCTGAAGTATTTGTTGTTTAGTACTTCATGTAGGCCTCTCGTTTCTCTTTACATTTCTCTTCTTAACCATAGTGTATTGTTATTGTTTCTTTTGTTCAGTATGACTTTGCGTTTTCCTAGAACCTCTGTTCCTGCTTCTTCAATGTTGTTTTTAATTTTCTTCCAGCTCGCGTTTATATCTTCGACGTCGTCTTTTTGTTTTAGCTGTATCTTCTGTGCCACCCTCTTCTGGTACATTACTGTAAAATACGTACTGTAAAATTCTATGGTTAAAAATTAATTAGTAACTATAGGGATAAAGATCAGTTCACCACATCAATGCAAGTATTGTTCTGAAGCTATTTTCTTGTGGCATTGTAAATTAATTACTATTAAACTGGGAATAAGCCACAATTAAAGATAAAAATACGTTTATTGATGTTTCAATTTCCACTTCGGAAATCGTTCTCAAAATACAAACAGTAAATTGACTGTTTGTATTTTGAGAACGATTTCCGAAGTGGAAATTGAAACGTCAATAAACGTATTTTTATCTTTAATTTTATTGTGGCTTATTCCCAGTTTAATAGTAATTAATCAATGCAAGTATCATACACATACTCTATGTATCAGTGTTTATAGTGTTATTTAATATTTTTGAACAAATCTTCGTTATTTGTATATTAAAATATTAGTTATTTGACAAGAACCCATTACAGTAGTATTGGTCTTCTCCTTCTGTTATTCTATTCTTATTAAGGTTTTACATGATTATACCGATACAAGTATCGATAATAATATCTTTATATAACGCATAGTACTCGTATGTGATATAACCGTAAAAGAAC